CTTTGCAAAGATACTCGTACTTTAAGAAGAAATTTCAGGTGATTTATCGCGAACAGTGATTTAGATATTATTTCTTGAATCTATTAAAACTTATTGATGAAGACTGTTGCTGAACCTTTATATAAACGCAAACAAACTATTTGTTTATATATAAACATTTTATATTTAAATACACAATAAACGGTTAAGTAGTAGTGATATAAATAATATTCTAAGATTCTATTGTAATAACGGCCAACATTGTGCAATATACAGATGAATGACGTCTAACAAAGCAATTAGAAAGCCAGTGACACCCTAGTGAAGAACGCCACGTGATGGCGAAGGGTTGCGCGTTTCGAACGCCAAACATTCTACCTAGGTCTTTGCACTTGACCATTTCCTAGTTGCCAGAACTACGTCCCGTCTCGACCGATCAGGTCTCCCGCTTCAATTAATTATTCTTGACACTTCTGTTTATTGACTGAAACAAACAGTCTCGGAGCTCTCGAGAAATATTTTTCAATCACAATTTTTTAAGTTATTTAGCACATTTATTTTAAAATTTTTATAAACTATCAGCATAACTTCAACTACGATTTACAGCTAAATTGTATACTTGTTTCAAATAGCTTCACGGCAAACAATATAATTAAAAAATTTTGTAAATAACGTACACTTCGCAAAAAAATCAAAAACAATGAAAAACAGATTATATCCAATAATAAATACTTTGATAAAAATGAGTGATAAAAATCAAATCACAAGAATATATATTGTAATTTTAATCGTGCGTTAAAAAGTTAATACAAAAAAATGAAATTATAAAGAAGAAAGAGAAAGAGAGGCAAAAAAAGAAGAGAGATGTTACGAAACGGGATCATGGTCAGTTCAATGCCGATACACCTGATGTCAAGTAGAAGTAGCGTTGATTAAAGAGACAAGGGTTCTTCCGATGAGAAAATATTTTCGGTGCCGTAGCAGACTAGGCAAAGCCACTTTAATCTAATTCAGGCAGCTTGTGAACGAGTGGCGAATGGGAGTTTTCAGATACAGTGGCACGCTTTTCTTCGGCCGTGGCCACGCTTGTTCGTCGTCATTCGATCATCGACCAAAATAGCATTGGCATTGTTCCGTTTCTCTCCAGAAGAACCGGGCGCAGACAAGAAGGTCGACTAATTTCGATCCCTTCGCCTCCGCCGTCGATAGAATACACGAGTTCCTTCTATGTCGGAATTATTATTCCTCTTTCCCCCTCTCTCAAAATGCTCACATGAATGACATTATTTTTACAATTTATCGATTAGCCACTACGTACAAACAACATATAGGGAAGATCAAGTTCCGAGTCTGCTCTTACAATTAGCTTTTTTAAATAGAATCAAGGTCCTCCACCCAAACAGTCATTTTTACTTTTTGATCAAATGTAATTCTATTGTAGCTATACTTAATGTATGATTTCATCATTAGAAAATTGTACTCTTATTTATAATGTTAAATTAGTATTATAAATATTAAATTAGTATTATTTAGATATGTTTTATGTTTGTTTTCTTATATAAATTATTTTGTAATTTATTCTTTTAAATTGAACAAATAAAAAACAAAGTTCTCATTTATGCGCATGTAAGAGAAAAATTATTTTTGATCTAAGCATTTTAGTTAAACTGGAAATATATGAGCTTTTTTACATTGTACATTCACTTTAAAAAAAGCGGTACACTTATAATTTGGAAAAAATTATCAAATTTCAAATGACGATAACTTAATAAATAATAAAGATATAAAGGTTTCTAAAAAATGAAAATAAAGCTTGGGAGCTCTACTTTAAAAATCTATTCATTTCAATGTTGCGAGATAAATCTATTAAATATGGTGGATGACAAAACGAAAGATGCAAAATTGAAAAATAATAGTCTGAGTTTGCCACGACACATGGCGTGAGTCAAATGTCGCAACTCAATGGGATAAAAAGTATATGATAGTACAACATTTTCCCATTAAAATGCTTTTTTATTCATCGCGATACGATGATTTTTCGCAGAGTTATTCGCACTTGAAGTAAAAAGCTGCTTTTTTATTCAAATGCGAATATCTCGGCGAAAAATCATCGTATCGCGATGAATAAAAAAGCATTTTAAAGGGGAAACTCTGTACTAGCATATGCTTTTTATCCCATTGAGTTGCGACATTTGACTCACGCCATGTGTCGTGGTAAACTCGGATCATTATTTTTCTATTTCACATGTTCTCGTTTTGTCATCCGCCATTTTTAATAAATTTATCTCCCAACATTGAAATAAATAAATTCTTAAAATAGAGATTCCAAGCTTTATTTTTATTTTTTAGAAACTTTTCTATCTTTATTATTTACGAAGTTATCGTTATTTGAAATTTGATAATTTTTTCCAAATGTTAAGTGTGCAGATTTTTTTAGGAGTGAATATAGATCTCAATGAAAAACTGTATGGTCTTAGATTAATGATGAACGAGTGCCATTGAACGTGGAACTTTGACGTATCGAATAGTCTGATGAATAAATTCGCGATACGAGACCCTGCAAGACGTAGCATCGATTTATTTTGGTTTGCATCCCGATACGCTGTCGACATATACGTTTATTTTCGTCGCCAGTCGGGGAAGTGGTCCGGACCGGTGGATTGCGCAGCCACTCGATGCTCACCCACTCGTGACGGCGTGTTTCGCGATTCTTTAGCCCGCGATTTCAACGCATGTCTTTATGGAATTTTAATGAAGCGTATCGCGTTTCTAAAAAAAAATTCAATAAGACAACGCTAAATCTATCATTTAAGTTTTAAAGAGGATTATTAAACGAATTAAAGATTATTGTAAATCTGTATCTATAATCGATCCTTCGATTTAAGTTATTATTAGATACTGAAAAATGACATCATTTTTCTATCAAATAATTTTTTATCTTTTTATTCATTGCAATTTAAAAAATTTTTAAATTCTCAACTAGTATAATTTTTTTACCGCAAAGATGCGTTTGTAGTTTTCCGAGTTTACTAAGAAAAAAATAAATGTCGGCATGTTTTATCTCTTAGGTAGTTATTATATCTCAACAGCACACTTATTTAAGAAAATACTTTTCGATACTTTATCTCGAAAACTCTTGATAGGATTCATAATATCAATTAGAGATAATACCAACTGTACCGAGAAATGGTTGAATCATATATTTTACGCAATATACTTGGCACTAACATCGTAAAAATTATCTGCAGTATGTAAAAAGACTAAATGGAAAAGATTAAAATTCCTTTAAAATCGCACAAGTATGCCAATATTGCACAAAGATAAATTATCCATTGCATTATGCGCATTTTCAACATATTGCATATTAGGCTTTCATTCGGAAATAATGCAATTGCAATATAGATTCGTGACTCAATCTGTCTGATGCAGATACATCTTTTATGCATTTTCAAATAATTTATGTCAGCACAATATTAAATCTCTGACATGCAATAAATTATATCAAAGTGATGCAAGCAAAGCAATTTTTAAAATCTTTATCAGGCTTATATTATATACATCTTATAAACAGATTAAAATTTATTAAAATGATTTGCTATAAAATATATTGTGTTTTCTTTATTTATATATATATATACATATTTTCGATGCACTTTGCGCCGAAGATCAATGTAGCCTTAATTAAAAATATATTATTAGAGAAAATAAATTTAATTTTGGTTTTTTTTTTTTCGTTTACAGTCTATTCTCTCTCTGTTGAATTTTCAAGATTTTTATAGATACTCGGAAAGGAATTCTATATTTACTACAACTAACGAGTGAAATGTTTCGCACGTGTTCGACTTGTGCAATACCATCATCAACGAGATAACGCGCGTTCAACAATTTAACACGCGCTCTTTGTATTTTCATTTTTGTCGCATCGCTATCGTGCTTTCCCACTTGTACGTCGTGACATAACGATAAAGCCAACCCCGGGAAGGCGTCGTTGCTTTCATTGAAATTCGAATTCCGTCGTTCGGTTCGGCATCGCATTACGCGCAAATATGGGACCATCGAGATTTGATAAATCTCTCTGCTCTTCGGCTCGCTGCTCGTCGATATCTTCTCGTTGGAGGCGCGCCAGAAAGCGACGTACCGCGCGCAAAATACACGCGTATCAGGGATCTCGCGTCCTGACGTTGATTCGCAAACTGAGGTAACCGAACTGAGGTAACCGAAATAAAATTGATCGAGTGTGACGCCAGAAGCTCTTCGAGCAAACCGATCGCGCGACGCGACGCGACGCGACGCGCCGGCAATCATCGTCATGTATGTGGAGCAGGCGGAATATTTGGGGAATCGAATGCGGAGTTAAATTAGAATTGCAACGCGAATCATATTCTTGACCCTGTTAGAGCAGTCCCGCAAAACTTGGCTTCCACTGTTATTTGAGGATCCGCACGCGCGCACATATATTCTTCATTTTCTGAGATTCATCATAAATTCTGAATTCTTTGAAGTAGATGTATGCGTGTGCGCTAAACAAGATTGCATTTTTATGTATTCGAATGTGTATATGTGCACATTCTTGAGAGATCTTACAACAGAAAATAAAGGAAAAACTGATGGGAGCATTCGAATTTTTTAGATTTCATTAATGTCATGGTCTAATAAAAGCCTTAATCTCTAATGCTTTTAATTTTAGTAGTGTATTAAAAGATATAGCATAGGATTAGATGTTATAAATGTATAATATATCTAAATATTGTACACATACATATACGTATATACAGTAAAAGAGAGCAAAGTGAAACAGTTAACAAACAATTTCGCCCGAATCAGTCAAGCATCGTGGCTAACTGCCCAATTAATCCATTACAGTGTGCAATTATCGAAGCTGAAAAATTTTGTTTACTCTTCAAATATATCAGATCTCTTCTGGCAGCCAGAGAGCATGAGATCACCGGCGTCATCACATGGTCAAAATATTCGAGTCGTTTTAACGAACGCAGAGCCGCGGCTGATGCAGAGTCGCATTAAAACATCGGCGAGCTTGCTTCTCCCGCGAATAAGTCGACGTTATCGAACCGGCTAGAGCGATCGATCGATCGATCGCTAACCCCCGGGCATGATCGGTGACGGTGTACCCCGATCGATCCGCGTGGTGCGACGACTGCCGCGAATCGACATCGTTGATTATCGCTCGCGCTCGTCCATCCATTAAGGACAGGAACTCAGGTCCAGGGACATTCGGGCTAACTTTAGCCTTTAGCCGGGTCCCGCGCATCGTATACCGATGTCTCGCGACGTCGAGACATAACGAGCCGACGGCTACCAGCCTGGCCAGCCGCTTTTGCCCGCGGAAAATAAAACAGTGCTCTGGCCGCCATCCGGCCGCATGGATAAGCCGATAATCGCGTGATCGGACGCGTAATCTTCGCGTTCCGATTGCCGTCGTGGATCATTTTGATATCGAAAACCCGAAAGGAGAGAAAGAGGAAAGGGGAAGAGAGAGAGAGAGAGAGAGAGATAGAGAGAGAGCGACGTCGCATTCACGTGTGAAGAGAGCGTTTACTACGTCTCTCAGTGGAATAGAGTGACGCGTGGGTGGCCCAGCCCCCTCTCAAGATCACGTAATCGTCGTCTGTCTTCCCCGGGTGACGTCACCGACACCAAGAATCATTTCCGTGCTTACAACAGACTGCTGAAGCCACGAAATTGTCTCGTGCGAATGGTCCGTTCGGACGATGCTTTCAGAAAAGAAAATACTCGAGTACTGACGGATCCTTGAAAAGATGCAAGCAAATATCCGAGAGAGAGTTACCTGAGGTAAAATTCCTCGCGAATCTCTCTCTTTCTTTATTTAGTAAGAAGTCAAGTAAGAAGTCTTGCATACCTCGAATTCGTCTAACGTCATATGTTCCCTCGGGAAAACATTGACACCGATCAGCAAGATCTCCCGAGAATCATGGACAAAGTAGAAGACAAGTGTTGCAATCGGGTCTTCGCATTCACATGTCGTCTGCCAAGTTGTTCTGCATCGAGCGGAATACAGAGCTAATCTTGTGCGTTACAAATGTAACTATTTTCGAGAAAAAGAGAGAGAGAGAGAGAGAGAGAGAGAGAGAGAGAGAGAGAAGCTCTACGAAAGTTCTCGGGAGAATTGATGAGAAGACGCGTCTTGAAATTGTGATACCTACATTCGAAGAAAGACGTAGGAATCATTTTAAAAGCTCACAATTTCTGCTGATTCGACTCTTTCTCTTTTTCCCTATACGTGAGATCATTCGTCAGAAATGATCATCGAGACAGAAAGAAATTAACAAATCGTCGTGATATGAATTATCGCGCGATTTTTGCGAACGGCAAATTTTTTCCGTACAACTTTCCAAATTTTTCTGAAAATAATTCAGTTTGTTATATAAGGATTTCCTCCGATATCGGATTTTAGTCAGTAAAGTTAGTGAGATGTGCAATCTGATGAAAAGTGAAGAATTAGATTTGAAATGCTGCCAGAGCGTAATTATTTATAGCTAATTGAAAGATACGAGGGCAGTAATTTGGATTATGCAACAAGACACTGTAATAGATATATCGATATAAAAGCAAGATATTTATAACCGATATAAACAAGATTATAAGGCCCACAATTTCTGAAGAAAAAAAATGTACGATACAAATTTGTTGACGATGAATCCATGTGCGAAGAGATTGAATCCATAAGGTAACTCGAATCATTCTCACTCATTAATTACCTCGATCGAAGATGGGTTTATTGTTATCGGTGCTGGTGGGCTGTGTCGGGGTTTTGGAACTCCTGGCGTGTCTGCGACACGCGTCCGATGGCGTGGTGATCAGCATCAATCCGCCGACACCCTGTCTCTCCTATCACGAGCCGGCAAACAACGACGTTCAGAGCATCCACGACTCGTTGTGCAGCATCAGCCACTCGATCGACGTGCGATTTCCTCGCAGCGTGAAGCACAAGCTCGAGAATCTGCACGAGTACAGTCTGAGGGTGCGAAGCGAGCTTCGGTCCTTGGACAAAAGCTTCGACGGCCGAAGCACGCTCTCGGAGTGCAGCAGCAGGTATTTGTTCGGAGGCTCGAAGCCGGACTCGAGACTCAGCCCGGATTTGAATTATCTCGTCGAGGAGAGCGACGAAGCGTGGCCCGACCACGTCGATCGACACGATTACAACGATGACGATTTTATCGAAACGAAGAGGTCTTTGGAGGCGATCAATGCGGAGATCAGAGAAAGTTTGCAGCAAGTCGCGCGATCATTGGCCCCGTCGGAGCCGGAGAAGTATGTCAGAGTACCGACGCCGATCCCGTTCGCCCACGACGGGAAAGAGATGTCAGTCTCCTCGAGCGAGGTGGACACATCCTTCGACCAGGACTCGGGCAACGAAGCGCCCACCATGAGGTCCTTCGACGGTCCGCCGGTGATTACCAAGTACAAGGACTCGCAGTCGGCTTCGTCGGTCGACGAGTCCGAGCACGAGGAGAGGGAGACCAAACGAAGAACCCAGCGAAAATCTCCCTCGAGATCTCCGGATCCTTCCAAGAGGTCAAAAAGCGCCGACGTTTCCGAGGAAATGCCAAAGCTCCTCAACGAACTCCCGAAAGTCGACTCGGCAGTCGGTCCAGGTGTCCAGGAGGAGAAGGCTTTCGTCAGCCAGAAGAAACCCAAGTCTGGAAAATCCTCGACGACGATTCTGAGAAAACCCACTAGGCTGAAGTCGAGGAACGCGGAGATCAGCAAGTCGGCGGAGAATTTGAGCACGAAGAAGTCAAAGAGAAGCCGCGATCCTGAACGTCGCAAATCCGACATATCCGTGCAAACGATGCGCGATTTGTTGAGGGATATGTCGACGAACACGTCGCCGACCAACAGTCCGCAGCTGTCGAGGTCGGAGAGCAAGAAGAGCGTTTCCGTGGAAGTGCAGACGATGTTGGAGGACATGCTGTCGGAAGATGAAGTTCTGGCGGAATTGGAGAACAACGTCGTCGGGCTGTCCGAAAGCAGGAGGGATCTGTCCTTTCGTGGCGGCTCCGCCAGAAAATCCTTCAAAAGCAAAAGATTTCGGTCCAACTCGAGGGACAAGTCGTCGGACGATCAGGATAGACAGGCTTACACGGCGACCAATGCTGTCATCACCTCCGTGGAGAAATCGCGAAGGAACGAGAAGACGTTGAAAGTGTCCAGCTTCGAAGATGCCAGCGAGGAGGACTACGAGAGAATCAGGAACGTTATTTTCGATTCCTCGAAAGAATCGAACGGCTGCTTGCGTGGGAAGCGGAGGGAGGATTCGAGATCAATGTCATCGTTCGAGGCGGACGATGACGAGTTTGAGGACGCGGAGGATGTGAGTTGCGGAAGGCCCCCTATACAGTACACAATACCCGACACCGATCAGAATAAAGCATTCTGGGTAATTCAATCGAAGCCATGAGCCCTCATAACTGCACAAATCTTTTTTCCAGTTTTTCGAACTAAATCAATTGTATATATATATATTTTCTTATGGCTGTTTAAACTAATCCTCAAGAATTCTAATGATATTAAAACAATGTAATTCAAATTCTTATTCCATGTTACAAGATGGATAAATTTATGAAAATGATATAAATTAAACGAAGTAAATCGGTACATACATGTATAATTTAAAAAATTATTAATTAAAATAACTGAGAGATGTACATATGTATATATATACATATTATATTCATTGATATCTCAATACTGTATACATGTACATACATGTTTCTTAAAAATCATTTTGTGTGTGTCAACACACGTCAAAATTTTTCTTTTAAACGAGAGAAAAGAGCATATAAAAAGAAATAATTAATTTTTCATATATAATCTATGAATGGGTATATCGAATAATACAAATTTATTTTACAGAAGAAAATATTAATTGCTATACAAAATATTATATGGAAAATTTAATAAATTTTCCGATTTAAGAACACTAATATTTCTATAATGTTATATTTATAAAGAATAATTATTTAAATAATTATTTGAAAAGGATTCAGTTTTTCATTATGTTTATTATTATTACCAAAAATAAATCAACTGGACTCGTGCAATTATGAAATTTACAGCTTCTGTTACAACACGATACACACAATACAACAGACCCTCGATCTTGAAATACAACAACGATATACAAGAAAATCGTTTACAACATTTCATCAAACACACAAACGGAAGACTTATTTGCAATGTCGTTCTCTTTTAAGTACATTCACACTCTTTCATGCATAAATCAAAATAAATTATGAACAATGCGCGAGAGATTAGATTGTCTTCTAACAATTGCTAAAAAATGTAGTAAACCCAAAAGATAAGTAATTATAACTTAAGATGATATAGTCGCTTTAGTCTAGCATTCTTTTCATCTTTGTTGATTTAATGTTCTTCATAAAATTTAGAAAAGTTTTCATAGTTCTTGATTCTTCGCGTATTCTCTTTTATTTTTAACTTCTCTGACTTGTATAAACTTTATTAATCTTGTTATAAGAGCGTAGGAGTTTATATATATAAATGATGCTTGCAATTATTATACACAGATAAATAATTTTTGTCGACGAAATTAAGTCGACAAAATGATAAAATAAAATTTTTTTTATTAATTAAATATATCTAGGAAATAAAAAATTCTTTAGAAAATAGCATAAGCTATAAAAGCTGTCTGAATTTTTTCATTTATGTAATCGATGACAGCTGGCGTAGCTGTTGTGATCTCTTCATCTTAATCTATACTAGTTGAATTTAAAAAAACGAGATAGAGGGGGAGATTGTGCTTATAATTAAAACATTTAAAATGTCCTATGTCTATAGAAAATCGCACATTTATAGGCACAAATAGGCTTCATGACGAATGGAGGCTTTTAATACCCAGTATATTTGAAGATTTGGCAACTAAAAATAATCGTCGTTGATCGTTGGTTTTCTTTATTTCGTGAGATCCAACGTGTCAATAAACGTTATTTAACCAGGAACATTGAATAAACCGAGGGAGTCAATTTACCAACTTTATTTTTCATATTATCGCGAGGAAAAAGTCTCGTTCAGAACTCAACTGTCGCGTGAAACAAGTTACTTCCGATCTCTTTCGCAATACTTGTTCCCAAAATATTTCGAATATTCTGGCTACGCAGGTAACCATTCGTTACTAAAGAATCCCACGCGATTCTCCATCATTAAATATATTTATCCACTTTCGAGAAATTAGTAATCAAGTATGTTGGCATTACCTATTATATACAATTACCCAAATGTATAAAATTCTAGCACTGAGAATATGTTAAAAAATATATCATCATAAACTATTGAATATATTCACACAATTGCAAATAAAGCTAAATATCTCAATTATCTCAAATTATATAAACACAATAAATTACTTGTAATCTAAGGATATTCAAACCAAATTTTGCTCGTCAGTGATGAAAATATTCTGAAAGTAGAGCCAAATAAATAATCCGCTATTCCAACAATATCAAATTACTTTCTAAGTTAATAAATTTCGGATAAACAATATTATATATAATATAAAAAATGTTCATCAAAATGAAAAGCCGTACAGAGAGATGTCTCACAAAATAAATCGAAGGAACTTCACAGAAGCAATAGGCATTAATTAATGTTATCCATCTTACTGCATTTTAATAATTTTCCAAGCGTGCGGGAGGATCGATTTCGCATTTTACATCGAAACAGAACGCAAACTAACGCCGCAACAAACCGCACTTGATATTTGCACGAAGCTCTCGGCGGTGCCGTGGCGTTTATTGGTGCCGTGTGCCTCACGCGTGGGGTCTCCTAAAATATCAATCTCATACCCGTCTGTAAATAATATACGTATACATCGCGCGCGCACATCCGACACGACATTTACACGACGAAATTCGCTGTCGACGCCGAGAGTCATCGCGGCGATGCCGCCTACTTTTTCAAACGAAACACCGTCCGAATATTTTTCATTCCCTCTCCCGCAATATTATATTACCGACTGGTTGCATCTTTTATAACAGTCTATGCATTCCGCGACATTTAGGCATTTCAATGACTTATGAGAGTTTTTTTATGGTGAAACGTCATTTACAACAATGACAAATGACAACAGTAATAAATTTTCTATAGCTAATTTAAAAAAAAAAATTATATCGATTTATTGTACTTGCTGTCTTGAATAATATATTTTATAGAGATAATCATTTAAATATAAATATCGAAATATCAATTAAAGACTCACACATCACGATCGATTAATCAATTAAATCGTATATCGATTGCGAAGAGAGGATAATTTCGATTCATAATTTTGGGCTTTAGATGATTAATGAATAAATCTACCCACACGTGACATATGCTCTTGTTATTTTGACAAATCGAATTTAACATTCCTATCGATCAGCTTCTTTTGGCTTACAGTGGATTAATGTCCACGCGAGTTTTTCCCCATAGCGTGGGTGGATGAGAGATATTGGTGATGTGTGAAACATTCCGACCCAATTACTTCGCCGATGCTCTCTCTATCTCTCTACTTTTCGTTCGAATTCTATTTTTTCGCACTCCCACGCACGCGGTCCGGAACCACCTGTTTGGCAAGAGATCAAGGCGTCGTAGCGACAGCACTTTTTTCTCGACAGATTCGAAGAGAAAAAATCGACAGAGGATTCTGAGTCATTGTGTGCCGATCGCGCATTCCCGTTTTTATCGTAGCGTCGTGGACCGGCAATCTGATACTTTTCCCAAAACGACACACCCGACTAACGCGTTGAAGGGACGATGACTTTATTTCGGTACTAGATATAAAATTAAGAAATAGATAGAATACTAACTCTGAAAACATGTCACATAAACGTGTTACGGCAAAATCATCAAAAGTCCGAATGAGAGTGACACTCTTGTGTCTGATCGTAAACGGGCTGTTTTATGATCGCTAGCTGTCACTCTTAAACACTATTTATATAGTACATTCATGAATCTCTTCACATTTGTACATTCATATTAAATTCAAGCGAGAGCTTTGACTTTAATAATAATATCTGAGCAATGAAAATTATTTATTTGATTAATTTTGAAAAATCCCGCATCTTTAATGCATTATACTGATAAAACATAATATACATATAATATTTTTCTCATCTGGAAAAGTTATTAAAACGTAACACAGTTCCTCCTTCTTTTTCTTTAATTTGAGTAAAAACAAGCTGTTCATAGTTCCTGACAAATCGATGGAAATCGATAATAATTGAAAATTATCGCAGAATTGAAAATAAATTAGCGATTAAAATATGGCTCGGTCGTGTCTCTGAAAAATGAATTCTCGTGGAATAATTTCGGGTTGGCGACAGTGGGGTCGGCGACGGCGACATCAACAATTTAACACGGAGAATAAAGAGCTGCGAAGAGCCGAGTTGAACCAAGTATCTGCCCGCATTGCAGCTTTCGCGATCGAAAAATCCTGGCCGCGTCGCAAAGCGAAGCGAAGCGAAGCTCCGAAATTCGCGGCTGACTATATCGACTCTGTTTCACTTCCACGCGCGGCGAATCCGAGAGCTCTGCAGGATACTCGCAGATATATTCGTAAAAGGAAGACGGCGCGAGAAAGAAGCGGGGATGTCATCGAGAAAATATTTATAATCGTATCCTGAGCGAGGGCGCGCAAGAAAGAGAGAGAGAGAGAGAGTGAGTGAAGAAATTCGAGGAAGAGTGAAAGAAAAAGGCGAGGAGAAAGGGTAGACGGGCGTACCGTAGAAAAGTTGCACCCGGCACACTGCATCGAGAATTGAAGAGAAGGAGAAGCTACGCAGAAAGAGAGCCGCAGGAACAGAGGGAAGGAGGGTGCGGAAGGACAACGGGGTAGGAAGGGTGGCGACGGAAAGACGGCAAGCGCGCGCGGCACGTTTCTGGAGTCGTCGCGACGCCGAAAATAGCGTATCCGATATGATGACGCCCGGAGAGCGCGACCGATCCTAGATTTCAGTCAGTCAGTTCGCAAGCTCGAAAGCCGCTGAGCAGTAGTAGTCCCGGACCAGTGGTCTCGCTGCTCCGATTTCTTTTTCCAAACGTCGAAAAACTCGCGGACTCTCTTCACCCTCTCTCTTTCTCTTACATCCTTATACACTTACTTCCTCTTTTCGAAAGAGCTGCCAAAAGACAGGAGAGTCTTCAGTCGATCTTATCGCTTAGAGCGAGCACGTCGTGACGGAGAAGACGGAAAAGGGTAAAACGCAGAGATGGCGGACGTAGACAGTGTAGTGTACACGACCACCGAGCGCAAGGTGCGCAAAGTGAAGAAGACGACCAAGCGCCGGGAGAGCAGCGATCAGAACGCGTCGGAGGTCACGATCACCGAGGTCGACAGCACGCAGAACAATCACCACGCCATCGAAGAGTATGTGCTGGCTGACGATATAATCCGGCAGACCCGCAGACTTTCTTTATCATTTACTCTTCTTTCTTGCTCCTCTTAATGGCCGTCGTCGTCGTTGTGACTACCATATCGATCCGCTCGCGATCCAGATCCTTGAAGAATATTCAGGATCTCGAGAGCGAATATACCATATCGCGATAATAATATTGTGATAGCAGCCTAAAGAGTAGAAATGCATTTAAGCTTCAAGCTGATCTTGATTGAGTGAATCTTTTCGCCGATGAAGTAAGATTATGGAAAAGCAAATTTAATCAAGATTGTCGGTATAACTAAAATAAAATATTTTGAAGATATTTGTGAAATTTCGAATATCGCATTATCTATTTCTGGGGGTTTTTTAAATATTTTTTGGGGGAAATAATTGTACTTGAAATATCTTGATTGTTTCAATGTTCAATTTTTTATTAAAAACACGAAAAATGCATCCTAGGAATTTTAATTTTGATGCGAATAAATGTAGAGTATTTTCAAAAAATATAATTTTAAAAAATGATATCAAGCTTAATTTAACACTAAATCAATTTAATTTAATGTAAATTAATTCCTGCCAGTTCTCTTTTTTTTCACTCTTGCTAACTTACACTTTTTAGAGTTAATTTCATGAAAATAAGCCATATATTTCTGCGGTTTTACTGTCGATTCGATTGTGGCCAGAAACGCAGTTTAATCTCATAAACACTCTTCTTTACTCCGTTCGCTCGTAACAAACTTGAAACGATTTATAGGAGCAGCCAAATATACTCGCGTGAATAAGGAAAGATTAACTTTAGACACCGCGATCTCGTCACGCGAGGATCACGTTTCCTATATCTAAAACGATATCACTCGTCGGAAATAATTTCCTCCGGATGTCCTCTGACATTTCGTGACTTCAAACCACAATCTCGATGTACGTACTTTGCCAAACCCAGAAACTACTTTAGGAAAACTCGAAAAGACGAAAGCCACTCTTCATAAAAGAAAGATAATTTTCATAAAATCATGCTATATATACATATTATAATTTTTTATCAGTCTTTAGAAAAATCACTTTTTATTGCTAGTAAAATTTACTTCATAATGAGCGTATGTAAATAGAAATAAGCCCAGTTTTTTTTTTTTTTGCAAAAATTATAATGGGTCTGCGAACACTGATAAAACATATAGGTGCCCTTAAGAAAGCAAAAAAGAACACTCGTTTGACTTTGCGCGAGACATGATTTGTACAGTCATACGCATATCACGATAGATATGACTTTGTACAGAAATACTCAGCCAGCACATACAACAGCACTCATCCAAGGTACATATTACCAGCACGAACCAACGATTCCGTTCGCCATAATCGCGCACAATCGAGAAAGCCGATCGAAGAGACTCTCGACGAGACAGCAAAACACGAGATAGAAAAATACAATGAGAGGAGCATGCGATTTCCTTACCGTGCCATTTCCAGAACTCTCGGACATTTTACGTCGTTCCCTTTAAAATTGTGAAAAAAAAAAAAAAACGTCTTGAGACGCGACTATACGTGTGTGACTTTTACTCTCAATGTATCAAATTTCCACAATTAGCTGTGGAAACGTAGCCCCTGCTAAAAATGTATAGAAAAAATTTAATTTAGACATAAGTCTTACGATTAGACTTTACAAATTTTTTATGAGCAAACTAACTTGTATATTTAGTGTTTAACCTGTGATTAAAATTTATATATATATATTTTTTAGGAGAAATATAATTGGTATTATAAAATCTAATATTAAAGCAAATTATTAAAAATTGAAATTTGATGATACATAGCACAATTACTGATATATCAACATTGCATATTTATAGCATCACAATTAGTAGTAATAAAGTTACCAAACATTGGGTATTCTATTTATTAAAACAGGGTGGAATTCACATAAGAAATATACAAAGCAATCACACGCTACTCAAATTTGAAGAATGTTACACATAAGATTTTATGTGTGATTAGATTAGAGAATTAGAGAATTAGAATTTCATAAAATAATGGAATAATCGATCGATGTAAATGTTCTGAAATCTATGTTTTACAAGTACTTGCGTATCGTAAATTCTAAACGCTTGGTATTCGCATTGCAGTTGATTTTCAGTGGCGAATACACAAAGGCGATGAACAAGGACTGGCATAGCGGCCATTTCTGTTGCTGGCAGTGCGATGAATCCCTAACAGGACAGCGTTATGTTCTCAGAGACGAGCATCCCTACTGCATTAAGTGCTACGAGAGTGTATTTGCCAATGGCTGCGAAGAATGTAACAAAATCATCGGAATCGACTCCAAGGTAAATAATTTTCTGTCACGAAAAGTATTTTGTATGTGGTTTGAAGAAACTCGAGTCTACATTAATTTTTAAAAAATCTAAACTTTTTTATAAGATCCATTCAAGATCTTCTTGTAATTCCTGGATAAAGTAATTATAAAAATAAAAATCATACTGTTGATACCAAATAATTTCAGTCGTGTAATTGCAATATAACAGCAATATAACGAATAGTTTAAAAAATATATTTGTATTCTATATGAAAAAAAATGTTTATTGCAACGGAACGTTTATTGCAGTTAAATTCAGAATCGCTCGTAAAATGATGTCCTTCTTCAGCCTAAGTTATACGCTTTGACGCGTACGCGAACGATAAATTACTTCGTTGTACAGTCCAAAGACGCAATTAGCGACCGTCGAATGATTACGAGACCAGGTGTCAATAGATGGAGAGGCATGGGCGTTGACTTACTCATTTCTAGAAATAGAAGCGATGATGCAGGTGCCGGGTATCCGCGTGTATCGGTTCCAAGCACCGATTTCCGCTCTCTCACACGTGCTGCGATACCGTCATTATTATAATGCAATCAAATTTCGTTCGTTCCTACGCGCGCAAAAATCGTCGACCCATAGCGGGCAAGTGAGAATACGTTATTTCTCTCATCGCGGTTGTCATCGCCTGGTATTATGTAAGCATGTAATTTACATAATTACGAATCTTCGCGATTGCAGCATTCGCAGCAATTTCCGTAAAGTAATTAGTTTGATCGAGATATACATGAGAAAGATTAAGATTAGATCCTGCAACATATAATTTTATGCATCGTTCATTGCAAAGAGATTTCTGCGATTTTAACACACAAACAATTTTTTTAAACGAAATATATTTGACGAAGAAGTGCCTAATGATAGAAGTTGAATTTTAACAATTACGAAAATTTTGTGAAATACCTAAATATAAATTGGAAGGAGAAAATTGACGCGATGAAATGTCCTCTTTTCAGGATTTGTCGTATAAGGACAAGCACTGGCATGAAGCCTGCTTCCTCTGCAACAGGTGCAGAGTGTCTTTGGTGGACAAACAGTTTGGTAGCAAGGTGGACAAGATCTATTGCGGCAACTGCTACGACGCCCAGTTCGCCAGCCGTTGCGATGGATGCGGCGAGATCTTCCGTGCTGGTATGTAATCTCGTTAATATTATATAACCAATTTTCCAATATAAAGAAAGTTCTTAACGTATCACGGGACTTTGTAGCTGCTTGTCCAAGTATGAATATGTTTATCAGATATTTATATCTGACGCGAATATTTTATCTGCTTATTACGTGGACCTGCGTTTATGATAGTGGAAATATATAAAAGAATGTCATTTCTATTTAATTCTGTTAAAAAGGATATTGAAACACAAATTTTGAAGAAAATTGTATTTATCGTATAAAATTTAATTATTAGAGAAAGAGATCCTCTATTATATATGCTATAACTATTAACTGTTGTAATAACAGTTTGCAACGTACAAAAACATATATCATTCTCTCTTTTTTTCATATCTGAAGCAAAATAGGAAAAATAGAAAGTTGAAATGCGCGTGTTCCAGAAACCTGAAAATGGTTACGGATTTTATGACTCGTTAATAACCTTTGCAGTTTATTGCATTGTAAAAAAATTCATAGCGTTATTAAATTCTAATAAGATGAACATGTTTCCAAAAAGCAATAAATGCGAAAATATATGTGAACGTAAAAATATAAATATGCCATCTAATGTAGCAAACAACATAATCGATATATATAATTATATAATATACATATAAATATATAGTACACATCGATTACATTATTCGCTTCATCTAAATGGCACATATTTATATATTTATATCATACCTGTATATATGAAACGTAAACGATAAATACTTCGGTTAACCATCTGTCAGTGTCTTCCTGAATAATCACTGAATAATTAATTATATTATAAAACGCAAATAAACGCGAGAGAATCATATAATTTGTAAAGTAAGACAAATACGGAGAGTATCTGTCTTAATATCACGATGAAGAATGAAAAGTCTAATTGGGAACTAATCTAGTAATTTCCACCTACAATCACATTAACACCTGTTTTTGATCGATCATTGGCGAATCCGTTCCCAGACAGTGATTCATGGTGTCAGGCACGGAGCATGGACGATCGAGAAAGAGAAAAGCAATATAGATCTTGCATTTGGTGTTTCTTATTAAGGTAACTGAGTCAAGGCTCCTCGAGACTCCAGACACAGACCAATTATTGTAAGCCATTTTGAAATTGAGAACACGCCTTTTTCTGTCTAATTTGCCAGTCCTTTATTAGTGATGTAAAATTGTTCTGCATAAACATCTTAATTAAATTGCAGCTACCTTTCTTTCATTCTCGGAGATTATGTTTCAACTAAGAATACGTGATAGCTTTTATTATAATGTAGTATTCAACAGATTACAAGATGCTTAAAAACTACTAGAAAGGGGAATCGGGAGTTCTGGTTATCTTTAAGACGATTAAGAAATGTAAATGTAATTTCTATTTAAGATTAATATGACATAATTTCAATATTTAAGCACTCAAGAGTATGTAAACTTGCATCTTGATAAGATGAAAGATGAGAGAAATTCCCTCTCTAAATATATATGACATAATTTGAATATTTATAAGTACTCAAAGAGATGTGAACTTGAAGATGAAGTATAAGAGAGACGAGAGAAATTCGTACTGAATTTAGGAAGAAGTCTTTTCTTTACCTAAATTATTAAATACAAATTATTATTACATATATATATATATTAAATTATTGTTTGTGTAAATTATTAAAGAAATGAAATACGTAATTAAGGAATCACATTAATTCAAGATTCAGCTAGCGCTATTCTTGCGTATATCCGCGCATTAGGAATAATTTGCGTGACATCATATTGGGGAAGGTCAGATCGTGTGGGAGTCGAAGCTAATCTCAATTTCACCTTTGGCAGATAAAAAAGGTGCCGTTATTAGAGCCGATCGAGGAATCGTCGGTGCCAGCGCGTGTCCGGGAACTCGACATATTGCAAACTACATATCAATCTTTGAAATCACTAGTAAAACGGGATCAGATTCATGATATCGCGTACATGCAATTTGCACGAAATTTTTTGCTCTCTATCTCTATTTCTATCATACATTTCTTCTTACGATGCTGATTCAAAAATGAATTGGAAAATTAGGAACGCTTAGGTGACCACAAATTATCAATTACAGGAAAATTACAGAAAAAAACTCATTAATCACTTAATAGACAAATATACACAAATATAAATTAAAGATTTCATATAACTTTCTTGTCCATATAATTTTTGCCTCAAACTAATTTTGATATTAGAATGGAAAGTAAGATAATATATTTAAATCGGTATATTAACAAATTAGTGTATTTTTTAAAGATAAAATCATTATTTGCTATATATTATCTTGTTAATAGCTTAAGTCATGAAAAATTTCTTCATAACTTTTCTTCTTTAATAAATAGAGAGAAAAAACTAATTTAAGATCGGGCAAAAAATCCATTGTTAAACTTGAGAGATCATGATTCTGCACAATTCTGTATATATGTAGTAACATGTCAAGTTAAGTGGATATAATTCCAATTCACAGTTTAATCGATGAAATTGACAATATACGAAATCCTTGAGAAATTTACAGCTGATCGATATAATCGAAAACAAAAACGTTTATACTTAATATTAACCACTAAATATTAACTTTATGTATTAAACATTTTGGCATAATTCAAAAAGATGTCGGAAGAATAATTTTTTTCGAGAAAATAAATTAATCAGAATCAAAATACGACACTTTTGAATCAGTAGTTCCAACCAAAATCGGCCAAAATCTGTAGGTACGTATCCAGATATAATCCACATAAAATATATATATACATGTATATAAACAGGGATGTGATATAGAGTGTCTCTCTCGTTGCTTGTATAGCGATCAAGTTATCACACGGTAACACACGTTGCGCCTGCTCGCAACGCTGACTCCAGCGAGAACCGAAGAGCGGTCTGCCTTCAGTGGCTCGCAAGACCTCGGCCCAATCGCACGCTCGATTCGCCACGTTTGATTATTCGGCTCTCCTTTCCTTCCTCGCGATTTATTTCGTTGTTTCGTTAATACGATCCTATGACCCACATATTCCACGAGATAAATCATTCAATTTATAATTCAGAATTAACAGAAAAATTCGAATGGGAATCTTCGAAAAAGCAATTAAATAAAAACAAACTTTAATTAAAAAATAATCCTAATTTATCCGCGCGAAAATCTCATCTCGAAATTGCCGCTGATCATGATTGCAAATCAGACTCAATCGCGTTCGATGCAAAACACCGAATAAAGAAAGTTCTGTCTTTGAGGAGTTTCGTGTAAACTTTGCACCGGCCGGTGAATGCAAGCGTGTTTGTTTGCATAAACAGTTTGAAAGAAATTCAATCGCGAAAGAGAAAATATGGCCACCGACGCGTTGAGTGAACGGCTATCAAGCAAGTTGCACCTGCAAACGAAAACGGTGGGTGAGGAAAGGATCAGGCGAGCGAAGGAGAAGGACGAGGATATCGCGATCTTTAGTATGTTTCCTATGGAGGGCGACCCTAAATTCAGATGCTGTTTGGGCAAGGATTGTCTGATCGGAGACCCGAAGAAAGCAGACCCAGGTGACCGCGAAGATTGCGTTTATTTCAAATATCAATTATGCCGCAATGTTAATGATAATTAATACATTTATGAATATTATGATTAATATGATGTAAATGTCATGATATTTGGTATACTTTTGCTCTGACTTTGCAATGACGACAAAAAATCACGGGAAAGAATTATAAGACAATTTTTTTAGACGAGACGTATAACTTCTTATATCGATCAGCTCAAAGAAGATGTGACATATTAATTTGTTTTATTATTATTAATATAATATAGCTTTCTGTAATAGTTTCTTGAGAACTGCTTAAAATAAAAGTGATTTTACATTAGACTTTCATATCATGTTATTAAACAAATATTATGAAGAATATTTTTAAAGATACATTAAAAATACATCGTGTATAAAATCATCAAACTTGATAACTTTTACTTGACTTGACGAGAATTGCATTTAATATTTAATACGACATCAAAAAAGAAATATTTGATAATATGTATGTAATCAAATAGATCAAGCATCGAGAATTAAGAAGGATAATATAGCATGATAATATACATATATTCAAATTTTGATGCATTCGATATGATATATTTAAAGATTTTACATCTTGTATGTTCTGCAAAAGTCTCTTACCAAAATCAGTTGGTATTAAATCAGAAATCAGTTAAGTAATGTATGCGAAATAGCGAAAAAAATGAGAGAGGATGAAAAAGAAAGAATCATCTGATACAAAGCTTCAATTCTCGAATCGATAACTAATCGATGATAATGAACGCTTGACTTTCTCGTAGCATTTACTTTACCCTGACGCTAGCTAATGCATTTGTTTTGCAATTATCGGTTTGTCCCTTTTATCAACATCAATGATAATCGCGTGGAAGATTACCAGCGAATATGTCTGCGTTTGGCTTTCACTTAAAATGGTTGCATTTAAATCTAATAAATATTTGCACAAAATCGCAGGGCAAGCAAAGATCGAAAAACCACGTCATTTTGCGACGCACAAATACTGCATTACACATTTTTCTCTAAATTTTATCACGCGCGATACGAACAAAGATGTAATTGGTAAATATGATTATTCAAATCAGCCGCTCCATAATATATCATCAGCGCGAAGAAGCATCCGAGAGAGAATCATCCGTAAAAATAACTTTAATTTTTCACGACGAATAAACCCGTAAATCGTATTAATCTTGAGAAACCATTAAGACAGGATAATTTAATCCGATAAGCATGATAGGTTTTTTTATAAGAATGGAAAGAAACTTATTATTTTTATCAATTTATCATTTTTGTATGCATAAAATATTATTTTTGTTTTTGCAAAAATAATTTATTTAACAGATAAGCATAAAATTAATTATGCTAGTTTTATTTATGAAATATATTAAATCACATATTTTCCCGACAAAATATATTTTATATAAATAAATATAATTATTAAGTAAAAATAATAAATATATAATAAAT